GGTTGGGAGTCATTCAGAAAGTGGAAGAGCCCACTGATTGGGTTAATTCCATAGTGATTACCAAGAAAAAGAATGGAGAATTAAGAATATGTATGGATCCAAAAGATCTGAATGAGAACATCAGGAGAGAACATTATCAAATACCCACTCRAGAGGAAATAATCAGTGAGATTGCTGGAGCAAGTTATTTCACCAAGTTGGATGCAGCACAAGGGTTTTGGCAAGTAAAGTTAGATGAAAGCAGTACCAAGTATTGTACTTTTAACACACCTTTTGGAAGATACTGTTTTCTAAGACTTCCTTTTGGAATAAAATCGGCATCAGAAATATTCCATAGAGCGATGGAGCAGATTATCGAAGGCTTGGAGGGAGTGAGAGTCTACATTGATGACATCATCATCTGGGGATCAACAGAGCAAGAACACAATGACAGATTGAGACGCGTCATGGAGCGCATACGGAAAAATGGACTAAAGCTCAATAAAAGTAAATGTGAGTTTAGTGTCAAAGAAGTTATGTTTCTCGGAGACAAACTGTCTGCCCAAGGTGTTCAACCAGATGAAGACAAAATAAAAGCCATCTTGGAGATGCCACAGCCTGTCGACAAAACAGGTGTTTTGCGCATCATGGGCATGATCAATTTTATAGGAAAATTCATTCCCAATCTGAGTGCAAAGATGACAAACATTCGCAGACTCTTGTACAATGATAGTCAATTCCAGTGGACAGAAGTTCATGAACAAGAGTGGAAGGAATTAAAAAAATATTTGACTACGGAACCAGTACTTACCTTTYACGATCCATCTAAGAAAATTAAACTGTCTACAGATGCCTCAAAAGATGGACTTGGAGCAGTTCTTCTTCAAGCTGAAGATGAACAGTGGAAGCCTGTGGCTTATGCGTCTAGAGCCATGACCAAAGCTGAATGCAGATATGCTCAAATAGAAAAAGAATGCTTGGGGCTGGCTTATGGACTAGAACGGTTTCATAACTATGTGTATGGTCTACCATCTTTTGTAGCTGAAACAGATCACCGACCCTTGGTTTCCATCATAAAAAAACATCTGAATGAGATGTCACCAAGGATTCAGAGGCTTATGATGAAGATGCAAAGGTATGATTTTACGCTGATTTACACTCCAGGAAAACATCTGATTCTTGCTGATGCTCTGTCTAGAGCTCCTATAGACAACGGGGTGAGTTCAACTGAAGAKAATATTCAGCATCATGTGAACATGGTGTCCACTGTGTTGCCTGTGTCAGATAACAAGTTGAAGCAAATAGTTGAGGCAACAGCTAAAGATACAGAGTTACAGTTGGTCATGCAGAATATGGATGAAGGCTGGCCAAGAGGCTCGTGTCCACAGTTTTTCAAAGTTAAAGCGGATCTAAGTGTTGTGAATGCACTGTTACTGAAAAACAACAGAATTGTGATTCCACAAGTATTAAGACAGGATATTCTACAACGGATACATGAGGGTCACCTTGGCATTGAAAAATGTAAAAGAAGAGCTAGAGAATCTGTTTTCTGGCCTGGACTAAATGAGGACATTGAAACCCTAATCAGTAAATGTGGAACATGTCAGACATTTAGAAATAAACAGAGTAAAGAACCAATGATAATGACTGACATTCCAACATCACCATGGCTGAAAGTACGACTGGATTTGTTTCATCTTAAAGGAAAAAAACTACTTAGTAATCATTGAT